TGATCAGCCTAATGCGAAGTGCTGATCGTGATCGGCCTGTCCGCAGTCACAGTCTTCGGCTTGAGCGCTACCAGATGACCTAGACACTGGGCTGGCATGGTCTGCGTTCTCTCAGCAGGATTCAAAAGGTCGGTGAGCTCGATGATCCCTGGGCCTGGTAGCCTGAGAACGTCGCGAATTCTCCACTGGTCGATACCAGTGGCCGAATGTCCCGGGAAGGTTTTGATGGCTGTGATTACCTCCTCCTTCGTCCAGTCAGCCTCCAGGTCTTTATCGTAATTGGCCTCTCCCCAAAGATCTTGAATCCAGGGCGCCGAAACAGGAGCATCTGCTCGAACTTGTTGGGGGTCCCTGTGCTGCTCCCAGAACTTGCGTTTGGCCTTGAGGATTTCGGCCGGGTCCACGAAGGCTTGTTCTTCCAGGACGTAGTTGTCGGCCTCTCCAGGGGTGACCTCGACCTCCAGCTCTCTGGGAGAAGCATAGGTGGCGCCACCTCCTCGCTTGATGCTGGTCCCCAACTGTTCTGCAAAGCCATCCTGGGCCTACTTCATCGCGCGGGCCTCGAACAACTGCACCTGCCTCTCCAGCAGGTCGTGGCGCGGGAGAGGATCGCGCGACCGAGTTGCAAGTGCCTCCCAGACCCGCTCTTGATCTGCGGTGGTGGTGTCCGAGCCCCAGTCGGGGTGATCCAGGGCCTTCTCGATGAGCTCTTGGAGCCTCCTATGGTTTGTCCCTGTCGGATCCCTGTTCCTGGCAAGGTCTCTCTCGCGGACTCGTCGCTGAACGGCGCTCCGTTGTCGGCGTTCGGTTCCCCCCTTGGCTCTCGAGGGTTCCGGGGGGGAGGCGGGCCTGGTCTCTCGAGAGGAACGGCCGCGCCTGGCTGGGCCCTTCCGCGCCACCTGGCTTTGTATTCCACCGCTCCAAGGCCTGCGGGAGCACGGCGAGCCGATGTGGGAGGAGGAGGAGGAGAAGGAGGAGGAGGAGGAGGAGGAGGAGGAAGAGGAGGAGGGGGAGGAGGAGGAGGAGGAGGAGGAGGAGGAGGAGGAGGAGGAGGAGGAGGAGGAGGGAGGGAGGAGCAGGAGGAGGAGGAGGAGGAGGAGGAGAGGAGGAGGAGGAGGAGGAGGAGGAGGAGGAGGAGGAGGAGGGGGAAGGGGCCTCCGCGACTGGACGGCGAACCTCAGGGGCCTCGGGAATCTCGTCGGGCGCCAGGATACGACGCTCTCTCCAGGGCCGCGGCGCTGCTCCAGGCTTGGCTATGTCAGGGGCCTCCATGGGGAAAACGCGTTGGTCTCAGCGAGAACCTCCGCCTGCCATTCCTCGCATCCACAGATGGAGCCTCCAGGGGCTGGCAATATCCGGCGTGGCCTCCACGAGCCTGCCTAGCTTCGAGGACGCGGCGAAGAAACCGATCGCCCCACAGTTGCACGTGGAGTCCGCATTCGGTTGGACGACGACCCCATCCATGTCCTTCACCCACAGGACCCCCTTAATGAACTCCTGGCCCGTCATGTTGCAGCCCCCCCCCCAATGATGAAGGGGCAACTTGTGGACTCTCACGGAGGTGGCGATCTCGCTGGTGGCCTTACAATCAGCCCGCATCAAAAGGATGCGCGGTAAGGATGCAAGGGCTTTGGAGGGCCATGATGGCGTTTTTTTCGAACGAGGCAGGCAAGCGAACATTGCTAAGGATGGGCCGACAGGGCAAGGATGCAAAGTGTTCCTCCGGGAAAATTGCTCATCCTTGCTCTGCGGGTTGACCGTGCTATAGTCGTCATACCCCGCATCGCTCTGGAGGTAGGTGGCGAGAAGAAGGATGCCGCGTGTCCCTTGAGGAGCAGGTGGCATGCCGTCCAGCCCGGGCCACCGCAGAGCGGGGCGCCTCGACCTGTGGCCCCCAGGACACGGGCGTGCGAGCACAGGCTCCGCACGACAAACAAAATCACCCCCTGCGGCTCGTGTACGGGCGTTGGCCGCCGCGAGAGCCGTCGGGGGCGGGATGGCGCCTTTGCTGGGGCGCTCGCGGGCGGGGCTGCGGCCGGCGTTGGCGCCAGCAAGAGCAGAACCGCCGCGCGCGAGGGCGTTCCCATGTGAGGCCGTGGCGGACGTCGGAGTGGCGGGGCAGACGTAAGACCTGCAACCCTGCTTCTTCATGCGCCTGTGGAAATCCCGAACCTTCTCGGCGGCTCACATGCGTTGCAACCAAAATCATTACGTGTGACCGCTGGAAACCTTCGGGCTGGACGTAATCTCGAGATCGCGTGTGCCAGTTGGTGACGTCGGCAATATAGAGCGTGAGCAGCTCCTTGCCATGACCTCCCCCTCCTCCTGCAGCCCGGTCGTGTCTTGTATCTCCCATGGCACTGACACAGGGTATTGAGTAGTCCAAATTGTTATGGCTGCTGCTGCTATCGCTAAGGGATCTCTGTCCTCGACGGGGGTGGTGAAACTGGCGCGCTCGCTCCACTGAGACGCCTGCCCGCGTGCTGCTAGGCCGCTCCGGCGGCAGCTCCCGTCTGGCTCGGAGGGGCTGCTGGGCGAGAGATCTCGCCCTGCTGGTGGCCAAGAAGTCCCCCGCCTCCTTCGCGCCGTCGCCTGCAGCCCCTCGCGGACCTTGGGCTCGCTGCGGCTGCGCGGCGCAGAGGCGGCCTTGGACTCGCCGCTCCTGCCTCGCTGCGCGGCGCCGCTCCCGGCAGCAAAGCCGCGGGCGCCGCCGCCTGCGGGGCCGCGCTGGCGGCTGGCGGGCGGCCGCTTGGGCGCCGTTGCCGCCTGGCCCGCCTGGGCTGCCTCGTCGAGTTTCTCGTGGAAGGCGTTGGCCTGCCCCGCGTCGGCGCCTCGGAACCCGCTGGTGGCTGCGCGACGCCCTGGCGGCATCGCGGGGGCCGCGGGCGCGGCGGCTGCCGCGGGCGGCGCCGCTGCTGGGGCGGGCGGCTCCACGTCCATCTCGTCGACGGGGGCGGGTTTCCACTGCGCCGTCGCCTGGTTGCTGGCCACCTCGAACTTCTGGCGCGCCTCGCGCAGCTCGAGGGAGATATTGGCGCGGTCCTCCTTCGCCTCCTTCAGCTGGCTCTCGAGCTTCTGGAAGTGGGCGTCGAGCTCCACCGCGCGCTTCTCGTGCTGGCGCACGCGCTGGAGGGCGGCGACGGCCGCCGCCGCTGGGGCTGGCCGCTTCTCAGTCACCAGCGCGGCCGCTGACTGCGCTGACGGGCCGAGCTCCTGCTTCTGCTGCTCGCTGAGGACCCCGAGGCTTGCGGTGAGGATGGTCGTCGTCTTTTCCTCTTCATTCTCATCCTTCCTCCCTCTTCGTCCCCGCTCCCTCCGGACTTCCTTCCTCCCACCAGGGTCCCTGGGTTCCCCCGAAGGCGAACTGCCCAGTGCCGCGAGAGATCGATCCGTGGAGTACGCACACATGTGCAGCATGCGTTGGGGCGCTCGCGCACGCATGTGGTTCGCGTACTAGTGCTGTCGTTTCTGCCCCCTTGGGAGGGTTCAGGGTCGGGAGAAGGTGAGCGCCGACACAAGCCGACAAACCACGTCGAGTTGCACTGATTCCAGCACGGTCTGCTCAGCAGGGAGTTTGCCTGCTCCGCGCCGCCCCCGCAGAGAGTTTGCCTGTTTGTCCCGCCCCCGCCAGGCGCGCCGCCGGCCGACGCCGCTCTGGCTTTGGCCCTGCGAGACCTCTCTGCTGCATGCTTGGAAGGGCTGGGCGGCCTCGACCTGCCGGAGAAATTCGCACTCGACTGCCCCACTCTCTGCAGGACATCCCGCGGCAGCGCCTGGCGGGGGCGGCGCGGAACAGGCAAACTCTGCGGGGCGCTCGGGGGCAAGCGTCTCCACCGACGGAAGCTGGCCTGCGTTTGGTGCCCGCCCCCACTTCTCCTGAGCCGCCCGCCCTTTGGGCAGCGGTGGCGTCGCGGAGCTCTGGCGTGTCAGGGCGAGGAGAATGCCCGCGTCGGTGTGATCTGCGCGACGATGTTGATGCCGATGGTGGTGGTGGTGATGGAGGAGGAGGACGACGGCGAGGAGGAAGAGGAGGAGGAAGAAGACGCATGCAAGTACATTACCAGTATCAGTAGTATTGTGTGTGTTAAACAATAATCGTACCATTAATAATACGGGTAATTTTTCTATAAAGAATAATATCAGGTATGGCCATCATCATCATCATCATCATCATCATCATCATCATCATCATCATCATCATCATCATCATCATCATCATCACCATCACCATCACCATCACCATCATCATCATCATTATCATCATCATCATCATCATCATCATCATCATCATCATCATCATCATCATCACCACACTAGTACGAATGACAGTGAAAATAAACATAGTAATACCAAACATCAGTAGGATTAACAAACACAGCAACACCAGGAATAAACATGCGAAACATCATAAAAGGGAGTACAGCAATGAAAGGAGCAAGAGGAATCTGAAGGAGAAGGAGAAGGAGGAGGAGGAGGAGGAGGAGGAGGAGGAGGAGGAGCAGGAGGGGGAAGAGGAAGAGGAGGAGGAGAAGGAGGAGGAGGCGGCGGCAGCGGCGGCTGAGGAGCAGAAGGCGTTGGGGCCTCCCCCTCCTCCCGAGACCAGGAGGCTGCGCGCCTGCATTGGGGCCTGTCGTGCTAACGACGACGGGGCAGTCCGAGACTCGCGGCGGCGGCCCCCTCGGGAACGGGGCGGACGACGACGACGACGACGATGACGACGACGACGGCGACGACGGCGACGGCGACGGCGACGGCGACGGCGACGACGATGACGACGGCGACGGCGACGGCGACGGCGACGGAGACGGCGACGGCGACGGCGACGGCGACGACGACGACGACGACGACGACGACGACGACGATACTGGCACGGACACCGACACCGACACCGACACCGACACCGCTTGCGACGACGGCGGCGGCAGCGGCACCGGAGCGGCGACGATGCCGGCGGTGGCGAACGCGCCGTCGAGGGCGCGCGAAAGGGCGCCTCGGCCGAGGTCGTGCTGGTCTCCGCGGTGGCCGAGCCCATCCGGCCCGCGGAGAGCGCCGGGCCGCCCCCTCTCAGAGGGGGAGCGTAAGACCCGGGTTTGCCAGGACTCGGGTTCGCCATCGTTTTTTGACGACCGCGCCTCGGATTTTGACGAGCAGGAGTTTTGTGGGATGTCTGCAGCGGGAGGCCTCGTCAAAATGCAGGCTCGGCCTCGTCATTTTTTTGACGACCTCGTCGGGGATTTCCGAGTCCCCTGTACCCAGGTCTTACGTCCCCCTGACTCTGGCCGCCCGACCGCTCGGCACGAACGAACGAAGTGGGTACCGAAAGGACGGGTACAGTGCTCAACTAGGGGAGCAAAAAGTGACATAAGCAAAAAATTGTTCGGAGGTCCGCGCGGATTTCTCGGATCGGCGCTGGGGCCCCCCAGCGGCGCCTCCGGCGCCGCCCCTGGCGCGCTCCGCGCGCCAAGGAGGGGGAGTCCAGCGCCGATCCGAGAAATCCGCGCGGACCTCCGAGATTCTATGTTTATGTCAGTTTTTGTTCCCCTAACAATGCTCAACAGCAGTTCCTGAACATTTGAGCAGGACTCGCTGTCCGCGCCGCCGCGGCCTGTGTCCATTTGAGACAGAAGGCCGCCTGCCCAACGGCGGCCGCTGTTGGTTTGGGACAATCTTTGTTATTGGGCATTGTGCCCATCTTTTCCGTACCCATTTCGGGCGTCCGAAACCGCGGTGTTGTTCCCCTGGAAGCTCGGCATCGCTCGAGCGTGTGCATCAGTTGTCTCAGCGAGGACCCTCGAGGAATTTCTTCGACCATCGCGCGAGAAAGAAGCGCTCGGAATCAAACAAAAAGCACGGGGAATAGACGTCCGAGCGATGGCGAGGAAGAGCCCCAGACATGCTCGATTCGTGAGCAAAAACAAATCAGCACGGGGGTGTTTCGTCGCTCTGGGTCTCTGGGAGCCCTTACCAGGCCTCGGGACAATCAGAAAGCTATTCAGGGTGGAATCCTGGTCTTGGTGAACGGGTCGGGCCCTCCGGAGAGCTGGGACAAAAATCAGGATGTCGCGTGTCTGGGAACAGCCAGTCCGTAAGGGTCCATCCTGGCAGCCTTTGTACCAGAGCCGCTCAGCAGCAGTCCTGCCGTGACCACAACCGCAGCTTGGATCCAAGGTGCCGTCGATCAAACACGTCGGCTTGCAAGCTCCAGTCGGTGGATTGCCGGAGCTGGAGTCGGTGGGCGACGTTGTCTCTCGTTGTTGCTTGTTTCTTCCCGTTGTCCCCTATTGTCTCCCGCTGTGACCCATTGGCTCCCATTGTGTATCCGTACTCCTATCCCAATCCCGATCCTCCCTGCTTCCATCCCTACCCTCTGCATCCGTATTCCATACCACGATCCCCATCCTGATTCACATCATATCGCTATTCCGACATCCCGACCCCTGTTCTCCAGTTTCCCTACCCCTGTCTCTCCCGATCCCCGTCCCGAGCCCCCCCATCGAAGATCCGCATCTCAGAGCCTGAGAATTACCTACCCCGCTTTCGCTTCCAGGCAAAACCAAGTCCAACCACGCGCCTCCCCGTCGAGCGGCCTGACCAGTGCGGGCCGTATCTTGGCATCCCTTGGCAGCTCTTGGAGGCGAGGGTGGTCAAGAGCGAGGCAGGTTCGTCCGCCCCCTGGCATCGGGCCCCCCCGTCCTTCCCCCTTTCGCAGGTGCGTGCAGCCGTGAAGGGGCCTCGGGGCCCGATCGGGCCGGCAGGTGCCGGCAGGCGGAGGCGGCGGGGCGCGGGCCCAGCGGCGCCCCGAGGGACAGGCCCTCGAGGCCACAGCTCTGGCAAGCCCCCTGGAGGAGCGGCGGAGGACGCGAGGGGCCAGGGCAGGTCCAGAGGTGCCCCGGCTCGTGGCCCTGCGCACGCCCCGCCTCTCCCTCGTTGCGCACGCCGCCTCGCGAGCAGCGGTGTGTCCCCAGCCTCGGGCCTCCCCGGGCGGAGGGAGAGCTTCCGGTTGTCGGGTGTCCCCTCAGGGGCCGCCGGGGGCCCCTCCACGATCCTTGGGGCCGCCGGGGGCCTCTCCGGATCCTCGGGGGTCCGCCGCGGTGCTCCGAGGGCCCTCGGGCGCGGGGGCTCGCCTAAAGTCCTCGAGGGTGTTCGGGGCCCGCTCGGGTCGGCAGGTGCTGGCAGGAGGAGAAGACGGGGCTCGGGTCCAAGGGGATCCTGGCCCCCCCGCGGGAAAGGCCCTCGAGGCCACAGCTCTGGCAACCCTGCGGTGGAACGGATGACAAGAGTGGGCCGGAATAGAAGTAGAAACATCTTTTCCCGTTGAATGTTGCTTCTCTTTTTCCGGCCACGGCTTTCATAGCGGCCCCGACCTCCCCCCAAAGACACCATGATGTTGCGCACAATCAGAACAGGGCAGCTGTACACATTTGGCAAATGAAAAGCAGGATGGGCTGGAGGGAAAGAAATAGGACAAACACGAGGATGAGGAGGAGCACGAGGAGGAGACGGAGGAGGCGGAGGCGGAGGAGGAGGAGGCGGAGGAGGAGAAGGAGGAAGAGGCGGAGCACTAGTAAAGAGGAGGAGGAGGAGGAGGAGGAGGAGGAGGAGGAGGCGGAGGAGCGAGGAGGAGGAGCGGAGGGGGGGGAGGGAGGGAGGCGGAGGGGAGGAGGAGATGGGGAGGAGGAGGAGGAGGAGGAGGAGGAGGAGGAGGAGGAGGAGGAGGAGGCAGGAGGCGGAGGAGAGGAGGAGTGGGGAAGGAGTAGGAGGGGAGGAAGAGGAGGAGGAGGAGGAGGAGGAGGAGGAGGAGGAGGAGGAGGAGGAGGAGGAGGGAGGGAGGAGGAAGGCGAAGGAAGCGGAGGCGGAGTGCATGGGAGATGCAGATGGAGCGGAGGCCGGGGAGGAGGAGTTGGCGGAGGAATTGGCGGAGGAGGAAGAGGACAAGGAGGAGGAGGAGGAGGAGGAGGAGGAGGAGGAGGAGGAGGACTCGAGGAGGAGACACAAAGAGGAGGGGCAGGAGGAGGCGGAGGAGCACGAGGATCAGCGGAGGGGCAGGAGGCGGAGGAGGAGGGGAGGCGGCGGCGGCGGAGGAGGCTGGAGGAGGAGGAGGAGGAGGAAGAGGAGGAGGAGGAGGAGGAAGAGGAGGAGGAGGAGGCTGAGGGGACGGGGAGGGAAGAGGCATACGGCGGAGTCGCTGGGGACGTGGAGGCGGAGGAGGGATGGAGGGGAGGAGTGGATGAGGCGGAGGAGGGAGGGAGGGAGGGAGAGGACCACCATGGCGACCTGGGCACAGTGGAGTAGTACTGAGGAGGAGGAGAAGGACAAGGAGGAGTAGGAGAAGGAGGAGGAGGAGGAGGAGAAGGAGGAAGGATCGCGAGGAGGAGAAACAAAGAGGAGGAACAGGAGGACAGCAGGAGGAGAAGAGGAGGAGGAGGAGGCGGAGGCGGAGGAGGAGGAGGAGGAGGAGAAGTATGAGATGATGATGATGATGATGATGATGATGAGGAGGAGGAGGAGGAGGAGGAGGAGGAGGAGGGAGGAGGGAGGGAGGGAGGAGGGGGAGGGAGGAGGAGGAGGAGGAGGAGGCGGAGGAGGAGGTGGAGCGGAGAAGGAGGCCGAGGCGGAGTTGGAGGACTGGGAGGCGGAGGACGGATGGAGGCGGAGGAGTGGATGAGGCGAAGGAGGGAGGGAGGGAGAGGACCACCACGGCGACCTGGGCGCAGTGGAGCAGTATTTGCCCCTGCAGCTCGTGCTGCGGCGGGGCGCGAAGAGGCCCTGCGCCAGCTGCTGCAAGCTTCTGGGGGTGAGGGAGGAAGCGGAGGAGGAGGAGAAGAGGAGAAGGAGGAGGAGGAGGAGGAGGAGGAGGAGGGATAATGATGATGCTGATGATTATGATGATGATGATGATGATGATGATGGTGCTGATGATGCTGATGAGGATGAGGATGAGGATGAGGATGAGGATGAGGATGAGGATGAGGATGATGATGATGATGATGATGATGATTATGATGATTCTGATTCTGATGATGATGATGATGACGATGATGATGCTGATTCTGATTATGATGATGATATGATGAGGATGGTGATGATGTTGATGATGATGATGATGCTGATGCTGATGCTGGTGATGCTGCTTCTGATGCTGATTCCGACGATGATGTTCATGATGTTATTGATGATGATGATGCTGATGAACAAGATGATGATGATGCTGATGATGATGATGATGATGATGATGATGATGATGATGGTA